GGTAATACTTTTATAAACTTGAAATTCTTACGATTCCTACATGGCCTACAAGTGAGGTATCACGGTTCAAGGTTCGCTGTGTTTTTATTTCTAGTCCGCTATGAGTTTCCATCTACAGTTTGAATACTTACATTCTTTTTAAGTGTGTTACCCAGTTAGGCATAGCCTGAGAAAGATTCGTTATTAATATTAATGCCTGAATGTAAGTGGTTATGGAAGGGTCCACAGTGTTTCCATTAATAGTGAGAAACATTGAATGTCTCATTTTAGGTTACTCCTTTAGAGTTTGGAAGAGAGATTATACATAGCTAACATGTAACTTAACTTTCTTTTGTTTTCTGAGAACATTTGTAAATTTTCCAGAGTAGATTTTCAAGTCGATATATTGAAAATAAGGAGAAATTTTCAGAAAGAGTAACAGGCTATATTATTTGTAATTAGTAAGATTGCACTTGCTAGTTGTAACCTCCAGTGATTTATTATTCTTTGCTTTAGGGCAATAAAATACTAGATTCTCTGTTTTCCACATGATACGGCATTTCCATAATACTGTTTTTTTATCATAAGCTCAATTAACTGAAAAAATTATATTAGTGTAAGTTTGAGGTTATAAAGTGTTTCTGAGTACAAAAAAACTGGACTACTTGCCACTTTGTTTCCAAAATATTTCTAGCTAAAGCTAAAGATAATTGATGATAATTGTATTTTTTCTGTTAACTTAGAATTTTATATTTACAAATACAAAACAACACATTAGATGTAAGCTTTTTTAAAAACTCTGTATCTAATTTGTATCAAATCTTGGTATCTTTTACTTTAAAACCAGGTTTCTTATGAGAATGTTTTGCTTATATTCAAATCTGTAATTATTTTTGGAGTAGAAAAGGCCCATTGATACACATTCAAGATGAGTTGTTTTAGTTGTTTTTATTATTTATCAGAAAACCATACTGCATAATTTGAGGATTTCACCTAAAAATCCAATCCGATCCTAGAGGGAAAGAAATTTTTCTATTTTATCGCACTAGTCTAAAAATAAATTTTGTGGATCACTCAGTAGGGAAATTCTAATAGATTCAAGAAACATTATGGGCTTTCTACATGACAGCGTTCTGCACTGTGGATAATACTGCTGATACTTACTCAGTTTTTCTTTTTTTTTTTTTTTTTGCCCAAAGAGTAGAGCAGTTGGTAAAAATGACATTGGGTGTAATAGATGTTTCTAATGTCTGTTCATCAGAATAACTCCTTGAAGTAGGTTTACTTGGAAAATGAATTAGTTAACCAAAAACTAGGGAAAAATCACATTTAGGTAAATATATAATTCTTATCTTTCTCAGTGGATTGCAGTGGATTGCTTATACTGTTCAGTTAAGTGGTACTCAGTACTCAGTGGGCCAGCCACTGTCTGACCCAATATTTGTTTCCAAGAACTTCCTCCAGATACTATCAGAAGGTACTGTCCAGTTAATGTTAGCTATGTATTGTTTTTCACTATTTTCTCCTTTTTATCATTTTTCTATGATCATAAATGCAATTACTGAATTGTGATATCTCTGCTATAGATGTAGATCATGTTTGTCAGCTTTTCCTGCTTCATTAATTCAAGTCATTGCTTACGTTTAGTGCTGTACAGTTTTCAAAACATAAAGAATTTAACTTCCATGGTTTAAGTATATTATTAATGATCGTATTATAACCATGATAGAAGTTCGGAAGGATGGTGGTAAAAGTTCGGAAGGTAAATATAATTGATGTGCTAATAATAAGATGCTTTGCTGCCATGTTGTATCTGAATCATTACCAATCATCAAATTAATCTTAGGCTGTCTGCAAAGTCTGGCTTGTAGTTATTGAGTATTCTGAAAATTCAGCAAAATCAATTGCTTTTTAGTGGATAGAATAAGTCCTTAGTTATAAATATATGAATAAGCATGTGATTATAGATAAAATTTGTAACATCTTGAAAAACCATGAAAAACCAGTAACAGCTTGAAAAAAGCACGCTGATGGTAATTAACACTTCAAAATAGAAAATATGAAAGTGGTATTCTATTTTTCTTACTCTTCCTGTTAAATCTCTTTTGAGATATTCTTGACACTGGCAGTAATCCAGAAAGGAAATGAAATATGTAAATTTATTAATCTAACAGGTAGCTTCTAATAGCTGTTAGAAGATGTGAGAAAAGAAATTTTTAGTTTAATATTCAGAACGTTATTGCCATGAGTTTTATTCATCTTTACCAAACTTTGTTCCTTGTATTTATAAGAAACATACTTTTGAAAAATAAAGTGGTAATTTTTAAACTTTTAAACATTCATGGTTTTTTAAAAAATCAGTATCATTATAAATGGCATAGTTCAACTTTTTAAATATACTCAACACCATCTCAAAATATTACTAAAATATTTTTACTTATTTTTAATTTGTTTTAACAAAAACTACCTGATTTTTTTTTATTTTAAATTTATTTTATTTTATTTTTATTTATTTATTTTAAGAATTTACAGTTCCAAAAAGCTGGTATGCTAATTTTCATTATTCTGTTTTATTAGAATTGGTAATGGAATAGTTTTTAAATCTAAGTGTTTCCTCTTTTGAATAACCAGTTTTACCTCATGCAGCTAAGAAAATCATTTTAAAATTTATGCTCATTTCTGTTTCCTTTTTTATTTATGAGTTAAAAACTTGTTAGGAGCTACAGACTTTTTATAAATGACAATAATTCTAAAGAAGGGCCAAGAGGTATGTATTTAAAGCCTCGAGAGTTCTTTAAGAGTCACTAATTTCTGTAACCAAGGATTAAACCTTGATGGTGTATTTTTTCCTTTGTTCAGTATCACACTGTCATCATGTCACAATTTTCACAGGGTCGTGAAACATGATGGTGAATGTTTGAAGGACCAGCTATGGGGTGGGAGCGGGCGGTGGGTGGATGTTTAGGGGAGATGGTTTCTGTAGTGTACAGGTCCCAGCAGGGCGCGTGCTGACAAAATGCCTTAAGGCAGCGTGTTCTAATGTCTGTGTAGGAAGAGGTAATCAAACTATGTGCTTGCCTCTGGCTGGTGTATATTCACGGGGCTCCAAGAGCAGACCCAATTTCAGTTGTCAGCCAGTACTCCTGCCTTTCTCATTTTTGAGGCGTCTTTAAAGTAACTGGACTTGGAGGCAGAAAGCCACGATATTAGCTGTCCAGTCTAATTCACAGCTTTATGCTTTGCACAGAAACTTCTGCTTTTACCTCTTTCGCTCAGGCTATGGGCTACATTGTGTGACAGGTCAGAAACTTAAATTTTATTAAAATGACCCCTTTTTGCATTTAACAAATCCCCTACTTGGACCCTTCCTTAAAACTTGATGAGCAACTTAACTTGATTGTATGAGGTCATTTTAGGTTCTTACTAGTGTAAAATGCATCAGGACTGCTTTGCTTATCAATTCCATTTTAACAACCCCTCGCCCATGGATTCTTATTCAGTTGGCAATTTATGTAATGGTATGGAAGCTTAGAAGGAGGAGATTTCTAGAAAGTAGGATCTTTCTGCCCAGTCTCCAACCCAGATTTCTATTCCAGATTAATAATTTAAAAGAAGTACCTTCTCCATGACTGTCCTGCATAAAATTGTGAACTAGGCAAAACTTGTCTTAGAGGCTCATCATCTTTCTTTCACTCTCCTGTTCCTGGTCAGAGTTCCCTGTCAGGAAAAGAGATCATGTAACTCATTCTCAATGACCGTTAAGTTGCTTTGAGTACCTTTACTGTGGAGATGCCTCTGGTACCACAAAAAGAAGACTGGATTTGAAGTCAAGGAGTGGGATTCAGGTCTGGTTCTCCCACTTCATAAGCTGTATTCATTTTATGAAATCAGTCACATTGCACACTTCAGAGCTGACATACAGCTAGTATGCTTCAGCTCAAGTGTTCCAGTTTTTAAAATATTCAAATACCTTCCTAGCTGATGGTACATGGCTGCTGCTCCAAGCTCCTTAGATGTCCTCCTGGAGACCCTTCTCCCCACTTCTCCTAAGCACAGTAACTAAAGGTTTAAGGCCTTGTTGGAAGCCATGTGAGTCATCACCACCAAATCCTTGCCTTGTGGTTTGCCAAAAAACCTGCCTGTGCCCAGCAGAGGACTCCTGCAGGGTTAGCCAGCCCACTAGCCAGTCCCTGCAAGAGTAACCATAATAATAGTAAAGGAAAAGAAAAAAAAAAATGTTTTAAGTACCTACTTAAAATCCTTAAGCTCATTGTTCTTCTTATTGAATAATAACTTCTGATCTAAGCATTGTTCTTGCCATACAATACAGCTGAAACAAATTCCCCAATCTCTTTTCGAAATTGCTTTCATTGCCTTTCATTTCAAAAATGCAATCCTGATAATTTTGAAAATTGCCAAGCTGAATATATCATCGATCAGTATGCTCTCCATAAGATCTTTAATGCTAAATTTTAACCCCAAGCATTTTGAGTTTCTAAAAATACTTGGTTGAAAGGATGCAGCTGAATATAAGTGCTGGTATTTCTACTGCTGCGGAACAAAAAGGCATTGTTGCCCCAGCCAACACAAAGCGGACAAGTTAGTTTCTTTTACTTTGAAGTAATGCCTGGTAGATGACCAAATTTCCTTCTTATGAAGGACAAAATTATCTCTAGCCTGCAGCACATATTCTGTTAAGTACTCGGCACTTAATTCACACATGTGATTACATTTGTGGAATGCAAGCCAAGAACGTGTAGTAGAGACAGTGTTCGAAGTCAGAGACTGGCAGTGAAGATGGGAGCATTCTGTTAACTGTTGTCTTTATCTTTGTTTACATTAAAGCTCGTGGTTATACTTTTGTGTAATGACACATCCCGAAGGTGAATTTCAAACTGAAGTTTGCTTTCCTCTTCTCAAGGAATGTTATCATGATCATGCCTTACAGAAGTTTGCTAAGAGCTGCACATTGTTTGAAAGTGATTTCTTGGGTTTTTGTTTTTCCCAACTTATCTTCCTAGACTGATCCCGTTGAGAGCACATATGTACGGAATCCGAACGTCAAGGTTAACATCCAGTCAAGGTCCACATCTCCTTCCACTTCTAGTGAAGCTGAGCCAGTTAAGGTGCCTCATTGGAGCAGTCTTGCTCCCCAGCTGTTCACTTGTGTCAGGAAAGAGGGAATCACAAAAATTCTTCTCTTAATCAAATATATTATGTAATGTCACAATATATTGGAGATCATTGCATTTGGCTGGTAATGTAAATAGGACTCTAAAACCAAAGTCGAAAGATGCCCCCTCCAGATTCAACCTAAAATAGACAAATACTTATTTACTTATAAAGGTAGTCTTTATTTTAAGTAGAGTACTATGTGGAACAGAAGGAAGGGTTATCTCACTTTTGGAATTGTCGGATATAAACTTGGTAGGCACCTGGCTGTGTCAGGTGCCATTCTCAGTAAATCTAGTAAGAGCTACACAACTGTTACTTCGGAAATACAGCTTAAAATGAAAATTGCCACTGCTGGCCACTGAATACTTTATTCTAACTGCTCAGTCAGCAAGAGGCATTCAACTGTGTCATGTCTTTTAATAGCACAAAAACAGTGTTGTTTTGTACCTCCTGTTAGTCACCAGTTTCAAACAGCCAGTCGGCCAGTTTTCTCAGCAGAGGTCGTTTCCTCAACAAGCAGAAGGGTGTGTGTCATGCCTCAGGGAAGCCCTCCTGCCTCAAGATGCAATTCAGATTCTTCACTCAGCTCGCAGTTCTGACATAGCCCCTTTGTTTCCTGTATTATCTCTAGAGCTGTGTCTCCTGTTCTAAGAGAAGCAGTTAGTCCACTTTGGAAAGCTGTCTGAAGTGAAGTGTGATTTGTAGTTAGATTCTGACTTGATTTTTTACAACCCTGTGACAGACTACCTCAGACTAGTTAAGTTGATGAGTCTCTGCTTTTTTTTAATCATTGTTTTAATATTTCAAGTTTATACATGTTTAATGCTGAAATATCTCACGCATACAGAGGTTAATAAACACGCATGTAACTCACCCACAGATTTAACAGATGTGAACATTTTGCCCTGTCCTTTTCAAATTTGTTTTCAGAGAGAGAATATTTCAGAGAGTTGGAATACCCTTTCCTATACCATTCCCCTCTCTCCTTTCTCAGACATATCTAAAAACCCTGAAACTGATGTGCATCTTCTTCCTTGGTTTTACATTTCACTTCATTTATATTCATAAACAATGTACGAAAATGTTTGTTTTACATTTGTTTTACACAAACATAAATCTTCATTTCTTTCATTATGCTTTTGAGCTTTACTCATGTAGATACATGTCCCTTTAGTTGATTCATTATAACTTACGTAATATTTCATTATATGACTATACCACACCCATTTATGTATTCTCCTAGTGTTAGATATTTAGGTTATTTTCAATTTTTCTTATTACAATCAGTGCTGAAGTGAACATCCTAGTATCTGCTTTTGCAGATATGCGGTTTAGCGTATATACTGGGAAGCTGAATTATTGGGTTGCATGGTGTATGCATTTTCAACTTTAAATAGATTTTGCCAAATTATTTTCTACAGTGGTTGGACCAATTTTCACTCCCACCAGCAATATGTGAGAGTTCCCCATTTTCCCACATCCTCACCAATCCTTGGTACTGTCAGACATTAACTTTAGCCAATTTGATGGGTATGGAGTGGCATTTTTGTTTTTAATTTGCATTTCTTTGATCTCAAGTATTAATTCAGCATCTTTTTATGTTTATTGAGCACTGGTGGTTTGCCTGTTTATGTCTTTTGTCTGTTCTATTGAATTATTTTTCCTATTTTTGTAAGTGTTCTTTATGTAATCTGGATACTAATCCTTTGCTGGCTATATGCACTGCAAATATTTTCTTCCAGTCTGTGCTTATTTTAAAATTTTATTTGGTGTCTTTTGGTCTTGCAACAGTGTTTATTTTGAAGTAGGCTTATATATATCAGTCATTTCCTTTATGACTTTTGTTTTTCATGTCTTTCTAAAGCAGTTCTTCCCTATGCATATGCAGCATTTATAAATTTTCTTCCATACTTTTTTCTAAAAGTTTAAAATTTTTTATTTTATATGTTTAGGATCTTAAACTGAAATTTATTGTTACATATTATATGAAATGAGGTTCTAAATCTATTTTTCTCATATGAACAGCCACCTCTACTATATTTCCCCCATTGATCTGTAAGACACTCTCTGCTTTGTGTATATGGGTCTGTTTGGGGGTTCTTTATTCTCTTCAGTTCTTTTTGTCTATTCCTGCATCAGTATCACATTGTCTTAATTATTATAACCTTAAAATAATTCACCTAGTATAATCAGCCACTCCCACCCACCTTTTTCTTTTTCTTTCTCTTTTTGACCCTTTAGTTTTACATATGACTTTTAGAATCAGTTTGTCAGGTTCCATGTAGGACTTTTGATTGAAATTGAATTGAATTTATAGATTTATCTGAGGAAAAGTGACATCTTTGTCAATGGCTCTTTCCACCTATGAACATGGTATACATATCATTTAGATATTTTTATATCTTTCAATAAAGTTTTGTTAATTTCTTTATGAATTTACTTCATATTGCTTGTTACATTTGTTCCTAGGTACCTTAAAGTTTTTATTGCTACAGGGAATGGAATCTTTTCCAAATATATATTCTTATGGTCTTCATGAACCCTCTTGAGCTTGTGTCCAACAACCTTACTTCACTCCTTTTTTTCTAAACTTTTCTTGGGCTTTCTTTGTAAATTATAATGTCAGTTTTGTTTCCTATTGATTGTTTTTTTATCAACTTTTATGTAGCTTTTCATTGTTCTTCTTTTATCTCTCATGTTCACCTTTCTAAACATTAATTTATAAATTGTGTTCAAAACGTTTTCAAGCTATTTAAAGGTAAATTTAAATTAGAACTAAACTCACAAGCAGAAAACTCTGAGAAGCTCAATTCATTTCCATTTTAAGGTTATAGGGCATATAAAATACTCTGTTTATGTAGTAACAAAAGCAATGAGAGATCATCTATTTTTCTCTTAATATTTTAGACTATTCTATTACTTTATTCAAAGCTAGCTTTTTCCTCTTGTTTGCTTGCTTAGCATCCTAAAATGAAGTAATTCTTTGTGCCTTTTTAAAATACTTTGCTAATTAAGTTCTGTTTCTTTTCCAGTAAAATCAGTGTTTCCTTCCATTGAAAGGAGTATCTTACATTAATATCATCTAAAGATATGTCTTTTAACTTTTAAATTTGTATGTTAAGCCCTGAATTCCAATAATACTAAATTGTCTAACTCCATTCTTTGGAAATTGATTTCTGCACAAAATCCCACTAATCAATCTCTCTCTTTTCTCTCTTTCTTTCTACATACACACACAAACACACACAAATCTACTGAACTGTGTTCTATATATGTAACATGCATTCTGTATATAGAAGTTAGAAGTTAAAAGAATCTTTAAATATTTTGATTATAAATCCTGCTTTTAAAAAAAACAGATACTTTTAAGAATGTGGCATTTTCAGATGAACTTGAAAATTAATATCCTCATTTTTATTTGGGCTATATGCTGTGTTTTGTTTTCTTCTGTGGATTCTCTTTTCTGAATCATTTCTTTTTAAATTTCCAGACAAATTTTTTTTTTTGCTACTTGAACAACTATTTCATTTGTAGACATTTCAGGCTGAAATTTAAATTATCAACACTATGAGAAATTTAGCTTCATTGAGATATTTTTTGCCTTATTGATGTCTTGCTTGGCTTTATTTACTTTGACTTATTTTTGGTTATGTTTGAAATAGATGGAGTGTTTCATGACATTTATTTCCTTTTTTGCTCCTGGATTCAGACTGTAGACAGTACTCCTCCTCCAGTTCACACGCCAACCTTAAGGAAAAAGGCATGTCCTGGTTCAACTGGCTTTCCAGCTAAGGTACTCAATCTTAGATATAAGCATGATGTGTTCTGGGAAAAAAAAAAAAAAAGAAAAAAAGAAAGAAAAAAAACACGAATAGTGGTTTTCTTCTGCTGGTTATATTTGCTGTGGTTTTTACTGTTGGTTTCCTCAAAATTGCAAACATAAAAGCTTGGAACGAAAGTAAATCTTATATGACTGGAAATAACCCTGCTAAGAAAGGTAGGAAGAGTGATGTAAAGTTTGTTTTGTTTTTCTTCCATCTTTTGTCTATTTTTTAGTAATAATTTTAATCTACAAATTATAAAAATTGAACATGGAAGGGCTTTATTGAAGTGCATAGTTTGGTTTGGTCGGTTTTATTTATTAGTGGAAAAGCCTGACAAGTTGGAAGTTTTCTGCCTTTTCTTTTTTTATGATTTCTGAGCTTTTGAAAGATTACTGTTTTTAATGTATATTCTCCTTTTGCTTTATGCACTTAAAGTTTTTTCAGATCAGTTTTGGACACTAACAAATTGAAGGAGAAATAAAATCACTGATAAACCAATTTTTTCAAAATTCCAAACAGTTTTTCATTACTAATTGTTCCCATTTTAAAATATAAAACACAGAATACATAGTAGTGAAGGAAGGTGCAACTTGAATAGACCATAAGGACAGCATTAGCATGCACTCAAATGCATGTTGGATTCAAGAGAAAGACTACAGACCTGCAAAATTCAAAAGAATGCTAGGTTTTTGTTTTGCTAGTTCTTTGGGGTTATACTCTTATATCTACAGGAAAATAGCCTTAACGTCATTCTTGAAGTATTTACATAAATATTTATGGGATTAAACATTTTAAAAGACCTCTAAATTATCAATCGAAAAGTAATATAAAGAGCAGCATCATAATTGTATCTACAATTTACTGAATAGGACTATGCTTCAGACATTACCTATCCACTATATTATTATTTCTCTCACTATTATTTTTATCTGTGTCTAAAAGTTTCTAATTCAATTCTTACTACAGTGTTTGAAGGTATCTAATATGTCTCCATAAAGCAGAAAACTAAGGCTTAGAGAAATTAACTTTCCAAATGTCACACAAATAGTAAGCTACAGGGTCAGTATTTGCATGGAGATCTGCACATTTCTAAGTATTTCTTTTAAACAATATCTACTATTAATGTTAGATATGTAGTTAACAAACACATAGTTATACCATAATTTGAGAAGGTTTGGGGTTCTAGAAGACACAGATTGGTATTACTTATCTGGCATAGTTAGTTCATGTAGGTAGTAAAATAAATGGAAATTTCCAATGAATAGAAATTATTGCTTCTATACTTGCTGTCTTTTTTGTGGTCTCCTTGTTTCCATCTTCCTAAATTCAGTGTTTTGAAGTCTGCTATTGTAAGGAGTAGTGCTTAGAGGATGCATTGTAAAGAAGTTGAGGCCACTCAGAAGAATCTAAGATTGAAGTTGACAAACTACTGAGAAAGAGAAACATTTAGTGAAAAATTCAGGTGAATTATTTTTTCATTCTATTCAACATAACTATCACTGAAGTGTTGATTATGGTAGAACATGAAGATTTAGTTGCTTATCTCAAGCTCCTACAGTGAAATTCTAGAAACTGGAAAACAAATGTTCTCCCTTCCCAGAACAGAAAGCCTGGATAAACTGCAGAGTGAGAGGTTGGTGGATCTGAAAAGCTAATAAAAATTACAGAAGTATAACTGGCATAGAAGAAAAACAAGCTGAATAATCTAGGCTACATAAAGCAAAATTCTGAGGCCAGAATATCAATTTAAAATAGGCACAATAAGTATCTGAATGAAACTTTTTTTTTAAAGGAAGTATATTGGTCACATGGAGTGGCATAAGGCATCTAGGAAGAAAAATAATTTGCAAGTGCTCATGTGAAAATATAACTGCTGGAATAAAGAACTCAGCAGATGGCTTTAACAGGATGAGCAAACTAGATGTAGGAGAAGAACAAGTTATTGGGGTGGAAGATGACGTGGATGATACAACACATGACAGAAATAGTTTCAGTATCTCTGTAGTAGGACTTGGGAGGGGAGAGAAAAAAATAGAAGCACTTGAAGAAATAATCCCTTAACATTTCCCAGTAATTAAAGATGAAAAACCTCATTGAAATAATCATTATGTGCTAAAGAGAATAATTTTTAAAAATTTACACTTAGACACATTATAGTAAAATTTAAGGATATATGCTAGATTAAGAGAAAATCCTAAAAACTTTCAAAGACAAAGTTATCTGTAAAGAAAAATTAAATTGGTATCGGACTTCTCAACAACACTAAATGCAAGAAAACAATTAAGAGTAATGTTCAAAGTGTTGAAGAAAAAGAACTTTGAACCTTAAAATTTTAACTCAGCTGTAATATCACTTAATTGTGAGAGTAAGTTAGAAATATTTTCATGTATACAAGAACTTAATAAATTTATTATTTTAAAAACTTATCTGAAAATACTCTTTTATACATTAAGAACATACTATCAGGAAGGGAAATTAAGATAATAGCCCCATTTATAGTTGCATCAAAAAGAATAAAACACCTAGGAATAAATTTAATCAAGGAGATAGAAGATCTGTTCACTGAAAACTGTAAGACATTGATGAAAGAAACTAAAGAAATGTATTATATGTTCACAGATTGGAAGAATTAATATAATTAAAATGTCTGTACTACATGAAGTGATCTATAGATTCAGTGCAGTCCCTGTTAAAATTCCAGCAGCATTCTTCACAGAAATAGAAAAAACAGTGCTAAAATTTGTATGGAACCACAAAAATCCCCTCAAATAGCCAAAGCAGTCTTCAGAAAGAAGAATGTGGAGGCATCACATTTCCTGATTTCAAACTGTATTACAGAGCTATAGTAACCAAAACAGTCTGGTACTGGCAAAAAAACAGACATACAGATCACTAGAACAGAAAAGAGAAGCCAGAAATAAATATGATGTATCTGTTCAATAAACACATGTGATCAATTAATTTATGACAAAGGCATCAAAAATATACAATGGGGAAAGTATAGTCCCTTCAATAAATGGCACTGGGAAAACTGGGTATCCACATTCAAAAGAATGAAACTGGACCACTGTCTCACACCATACACAAAAATCAACTCAAAACAGATTGAAGACTTGAACTTAAGATCTGAAACCATAAAACTCCTAGAAGTAAATGGTGGGTAATCTTGACATTGGTCTTAGGAATGACTTTTTGGATTTGATATCAAAAGCAAAGACAATGAAACAAAAACAAAGATGAATAAGTGGAATTACGTCAAAGTAAAAAATTTCTGCTCAGCAAAGAAAACCATTAACAAGTTGAAAAGGCAACCTATGGAATGAGAGAAAATATCTGTGAGTCATGTCTGGTAAGGCGTTAATATCCAAAATACAGAAGAACTAATACAACTCAATAGCCCCAAAACAAGACAAAAAAAACAGCCACATAATCCAATTCAAAGATGGGGAGAGGATCAGAATAGACATTTTTCCAAAGAAGATATACCAAAAAATGGCCAAAGATACATAAAATGGTGCTCACCATCATTAATCATCAGGGAAAGGCAAATCAAAACCACAATGAGATACCACCTCATTAGAGGTGGTAGAATGGCTGCCATCCAAAAGGCAAAGAGATAACCGGGTGTTGGCGAGGATATGGAGAAAAGGGAACTCTATTGCCCTGTGGGTGGGAGTATAAATTGGTGCAGCCACTGGGGAAAACAGGGTAGAGATTCCTCACACAACTAAAAATAAAACTACCATATGATCCAACAACTCCACTTCTGGGTGTATACCTTAAGGAAACAAAATTACTATCTCAGAGATTATATGTGCCCCCATGCCCAGTGCAGCATTATTTACATTAGTCAAGATGCGGAATAACTTGTATCCACTGACAGAGAATGGATGAAGAAAATGTGGTACGCATACACACACACACACACACACACACACACACGCAATGGACTATCGTATGGCCATAAGAAAGAGGAAAATCTTGCAATTTGTGATGACATGGATGGACTTTGAGGGCATTATGTTAAATAAGAGAAAGACAAATACTATAATGATCTCACTTATATATACAATCTTAAAAATTCAAACTCGTAGAAATGGAGTATTGGTTGCTAGAGGTGGGGTTGGAAGATGAGGGAAAAGGTACACACTTCCAGTTACAAGATAAGTTCTGTGGACAAATGCAATACATGGTGACTATAGTTAACAACACCGTATTGTATATTTGAGACTTGAAACTTGCTAAGAGAGTAGATCTTAAACATTCTCCTCACAAGAAAAAAAATCACAACTATATGAGGTGATGGATGTTAACTTTGGTAATCATTTTGCATTATATGCATGTATCAAGCCATGATGGTGTATACCTTAAACTAATACATTATATGTCACTTATATCTCAGTAAAACTTGGGGGGGGGTAGTAAATATTCTTGGAGGAAATTCTCCATCAAAAGGAGATATAAAGGATGCCTGGGTAGCTCAGTTGGTTAAGCGACTGCCTTTGGCTCAGGTCATGATCCTGGAGTCCCCGGATTGAGTCCCGCATCGGGCTCCCAGCTCCACGAGGAGTTTGCTTCTCCCTCTGATCTTCTCCCTTCTCATGCTCTCTGTCACTGTCTCTATCTCAAATAAATAAATAGCATCTTAAAAAAAAAAAAAAAGGAGATAGGAAGCTATGAGACCACTGTGAGAGACTTGGGAAATAGGGTGACTCAGTATCTCACAGCACTGTGCTATGGTCTGTAAAAACAAGCACCCTCACTCTACAAAAGTCGAAGAGAAAGGAAATACATAATCAAAGCTGTCCAGAATTAATGTAAATACAAACACAGGAGGTTAAATGTAAGGATCAGGTGAGATGAGCTTAAGCATTTTCTTGTCTGGGGAGAAGCTACAGAGACAGCATAGCATGGTGTAGTTATTGTGGTGGGTTCCTAGCAGGGCCTTCTAAGTTACTGTCACAAATTA